TGCCTCTTGCGGTCCTGGGCAAGCTCCCGGGAGCCGCCAGCCTGGTCCTGGGAAGAGGGGGAGGGCTGGGGGTCATCGGGTGGGTGGCTCGATCCCTGCCAGGTGCAGGGTTTGCTGGCTGGGTGCTGGCAGGTTTGCACCTGGCACGGGCACTGTAGCCAGCCTGTGCCCCTTTAAGGGCTCCGGGGCCGGGAGGGGGGAAGAAGAGTTTCCTTGGTGGTGCCCAGAGTGGCCACCAGGGAAAGCTGGGGAGGGCTAGCCTCCCACTAGTTCGAATTAAGTGGCTACACAGCCCTTAATTCAAACTACTTAATTTGAACTAGGCGTTAGTCCTCGTAGAATGAGGTTTACCTAGTTCGAATTAAGCGCTCCGCTAGTTCGAATTAAGTTCAAACTAGCAGTTTGCACGTGTAGCGCCTATCAAAGTTAATTCGAACTAACGTCTGTTAGTTCAAATTAACTTTGTAGTGTAGACATACCCACTTTGTCTAAACTGCAGGGTTTTTGTGCAGGAGATCTTCCGCAAAAACGTCTTGTGCAAAAGCACGTCCACACCTCAAAAGCGCATCACAAAAGTGATGTGCTTTTGCGCAAGAGAGCGTCCACACTGCATCCACATTTCTTGTGCAAGAAAGCTCTGATGGCGATTAACAGAATGGCCATCAGAGCACCTCTTCTTTTTCTGGTCGACTCTTTTTGCGCAAGAAACCCCTGTGGAGAGTCCACACATGCCTTTTTGCGCAAGAGCTGTAGTGCAAAATGGAGTTGTTCCTCGGGGGGAGAGAAATAACTCTACTGGCAAAAGCCCTCTGTCCTGTTGATTGACTGGGTTCTTTTTTGGGGAGAGGGTGGAAAAAAGCACTTGAGGTGTAGACACCCTCCCGGTTTTTGCGCAAAAACATTTGTTTTTGCGCAAAAACCTTGTAGTGTAGACATAGCCACACAGACAGACGGCGTTTCCAAAATATATAGAAGATAAAATAAATCAAAATGTTTTGATTTTGATGTCTTTAACAACCTTTTAATGGGGATCTTTCTTTGTGGAGAATTTCAAATGTTTCCGGTTTTTGTTTGCTTTGAACTGAAGCCACATTTTAAAAACTCAAACCCTTCACTCAATGAAACTGGGATCCTCTGACTAGCAGTAGCGAGGACTGAGCAGTGCCCTGACTGTCCGTTGTTCTGAACACCGGAAGCTTGTTGTGGCATCAAGAATGCTCAGCACTTCTCAAACTCAGGCTATCTGGACTTCCCCAGTGAGCTCTCTAATGCAGCTGAGGCTAGGTATGGAGGAGTAGGATTTGCTCCTGCTATGTCCCGGCAGTACATCACTATTCTCTGCGAAGAAAAGACATATTGGGAGTATGTCTACACTGCAGCATTTTTCCAGAAAAACAATACTGGCGTTCACACTGCTATTGCGTTCTTTCAAAAGAAAGTCAAAAGAACAGAGGGGTTTTTCTGATGGCGGTAAACCTTTCTACGAGGAAGAAGCCTTTTCCAAAAAGATTTTTCAGAAAAAGGCGTGTGGACATGGAAGAGGGAGTTCTTTCAAAAGAAGAGGCCTCCAAGAAATAACACAGGTGCCCTGGTGGCCACGCCATCCAGACTAATCAGAACTCTATAATTCCTGTCTCCTGGTAGCTCTTAAAGCTGCAGGCACCCGGGACAAGCCTTGTGGCAGGAAGCCGGCCCAGACAGCTGCACCTGACTGCACAGCTCTTCCTGCCATCCACATTTTCAGCAATGGTCCAGCCACAAGCCCCTTGAGACCTCCATGGCCCTCACAGGGAGCACAACTCCCAGGACCCAGTCAGGAGCAGCACATGCCATGGTCCTGGGCAGAGATCCTGTCCCTCCTGGAGCTGTGGGGTAAGGAGGAGACCCTGCAGGATCGCTGTTCCCGAGGCGGAATGCGGACATATTTGGCCGGATGGCTGAGTCTCTGGCCACAAGAGGCCACCTCCACCCCCCAGACATTAGAACAGGGACGGAGCAAAGTCAAGGAGCTCCACCAGGGCCACA